ATGTCAGAGGTGCTGCTCAAGAAGTCTGCGAGTCCAAGGTGCCGGCCAAAGGGAACAGTATGGTGGTCAACGAGGTTTCTTATCTCCTCGTACTGAGCTGCAGCATGTCATCGTCCTCGTGCGCTTGCCATTAGATCCATTATCGTCGGCGATGCGCAGGGGCCACATAGAGAACTTGGACAAGAGAGACAAGGATGTGGCGGAGGACAGATGGGAGAACGGGGCAAGGCGGAGGCAAGAGCGGATCATACACGGTGTGGGTTCAAGAGGCAAGGGCTTCGTTGGGTACAGGGTGTGTGTAGAGCAGGAATGCGGGGTCAAGGCGGGGTTTATGAAAGGGTTTAGGGTTTGTTATATTATGTATCTAGGCTATAGGGTGAGCACAATCATAGGCGCGGACAAGTTTCATAACATTCTTAAGGTTAGGAAGAGGAGGTTAGAAAAAGGTTCCCATGTGGATTCTTCGTCAGGGTATCCAGTCCATTTAACTTTGTATTCTGTGATTGGTTCCGGATGGTTGGATACTTGTGTGGTTTGTCGACCTATGATGGATTGTACTACGAATTCTGAGTCTGTGGGGAACATGATCGGTGAAGGTCTGGGGTAAGAGCGGTCAGCGAATTGGGGTGGGGATCCATGGTATTCTTTTAGGTATTCTACTTGGAAGACGGGGTGGACGCGACTCATGTTAGGCGGAAAATGGAGTTTGTAGTTGACAGGGGAGTTTTGTTCAATGACGGGGGAAGGGTCCAAGCCACTTGTTCGAGAGTCTGTTGGACAAGCCGTGTTCGGGTTCAAACCGTTTGGCGAAGAGCCAGACTTTGTCCCCTTCTTTGAATGACTGTTTCAAGGGCTTCAGTAGCTTCTCTGAGGAGTCTGTTCGTTGTTACTACCCATTCATTGAGAGAAGGGCAGGGCGAGGGGAGCAGGAAGTCGGAGGGCAAACACGGATGATAGCCAAGGTCGAGGTAGAATGGAGTCATGCCAGTGGAAGGATAGCCAACCTTGTTGTAGGCAATCTCGGCGGCGGTGAGCAACTGATCACGGTCGTGTTGATGTGGATGACAATACTTCTGCAGGATTCTTTGGAGAGTGTCGTTCATCTTCTCGGTTTGTCCATCGGTCTGTGGGTGGAATGCAGTGTTATACTTGAGTGTGGTTCCGCAGGCTTTAAAGAGGTGTTTCCAGAATTGTGAAAGGAAGCAAGGGTCTTGGTCGCTAATGATGTTATCGGGGAGACCGTGATTGCGTGCGACATGATCGAAGAAGAGAGTGGCTACGTCCTTGGCGCTGTGCGATGTGGTGCGGTGCAAGGGATAAAGTGGGCGTGTTTAGTCAAGTGGCAAACAATGACATAGATGCAATCATGTCCGCGGTCGGTCTTGGGGAGACCACAAACGAAGTCCATGGAAATGGACTGCCACTGGTGGGTTGGGATCGACAATGATTGTCGCTTGTCGGGCTTGGCGCGGTTCAAGGGGTTGATGGCTTGACAAGTGGGGCATGAGCGAATGTCGGCTTTGACGTCGGCGAGTAGGGAAGGCCAGTAGAAGTAACGAGAGATGGTGTGGAAGGTTTTCTGGAACCCGAGGTGTCGCGCAGTCTTGGCGTCGTGATGCTCGGCCAAGAGCTGGGTACGGAGGCCACGTGCGCCGGGGATGCAAAGTCGACGAGTGCCTTTGGTGTCAATGTAAAGAAGTTGGTCATGAAGGGAGTAGTTGGGGACTAAGTCGAGGTCACGAAGTTTGTTGTAGATTGTTGAGAAATCCAGGCAAGAGAGGTAGCCTTGGGTATAGCGGTGGTAGAGTGATGGGAGGAGTTGGATATGAGTCATGGGGGCGTAGACTTTCTCAAAGGGCTTGTGGTCGGGGAGTCCAAAGAGGGCATCGACAAAGCGGTTGCTTTTGCCCTGGTGGGTGCGTGGTGACCATGGGGACAGTGTTCAAGTGGAGGAGGGCCCGAGAGTGGAGGATGCGGAAGTAACGGATTGGGGGGTCGCAGGCTGGCGTGTGAATTGTCTAGCAAGTGGGCAGTTGGTTTGCTGGTGGCCTATTTGTCGACACCGGAAGCCTTTTGCCTGAAGGTGGGCTCTTTCCTCGGGTGTGAGTTTCCTGAGGCGGTCCGGGAGGCTGCTCGAGCGAGGGCAGCTAGAGCGTTCTCTCTTTTCCATTCTTATGAGGTGAATGGCAGAAAGTTCGTCAGAGGAGAGTGATGTGGTGTCTAGGGAATCAGAGAGGATGTCGGGTCAGGGGCAGAGAATTCGTCCGAGGAGGCAGAGAGAGAGGTTTCGTCGGTGAGGTTATGAAAAAATTGTGGGCGGGGTGGGGCGGATGTGTGTGCGTCCTTGTACGGGGTGAGGGATTTGTCTAGGTGAATGGCGCAGCTGAAGAGATCGAAGAGAGACATTGGGTGGTCATGGACGAGGGAGGCGGCTAGGTCCTTGCAGCATCCCCATTTGAAGCGGGAGATGAAAGTGGCATCGTTGACGTAGTCAAGGGGGATGTGTTGCCGCTACGGACGCACGTATTGGACAAAGCGGTCGGTCGGGCCGTTTTGATCAACCATCATTTGTGCTCGGTATGTGCAGGTGATGAGATTGGCCCAGTGAAAGAAGGAATGGGGTTCCTTGTTTGCGTGTTGGAGGTTAGCTCGTTCGGTGTACCACCAACGAGCGGCACCTTCCTGTAACCTGGTGCTGGCAATAGGGAGCCAGTGTGTGACAGGGATGTTGTGGAGGGAGAAGGCATCGTATAGTTTGCTGAGAAAGACGAAGACGTCCTCGTGGGGAAGGCCGTGAAGGGGGGGATATCCATTGACAGGAAGGATGGGCAAATGTTAGCCAATAAGGGTGTTGTGGTGGCGAGGGAGTTGAAATCAAGTTTGGGTGAGGAGGACGGCACCTGGGTGAAGTCGGTAGTGGGATTGGTCAGGAGGAGTGTGGACGAAGGAGGTATTGGGATAATGGGGAGCAGGGCTTGAGGTGTGGGGTTGATCTGGGTATGGGTGGAAGTGATAGTGGATGAAGTCATTGGGGGTTTTGACTGGGAGAGAATGGTTGATGATTGCGTGACGGGGGGGGTTGTCGTCTTGGTGACCAAGGTGGAGGTAGTGGTGGATGAAGGCGAAGGTGTGGATGACGTGCTAGCGGAGAGGGGTTTTGCAGATGTGGGGGACAGGGTGATTCGTGTAGATGTGGAGGCAGATGATGGGGGAAGGGTGGTGGCACCCGAGATAGGGGGAGGGGGGGGATGTGGTGGTGATGACCTGGATGCTGGGGGTGTGACTTGAAATGGTGGACGGATGTTTTGATGTCGTCCATGGATGACTGGAGGGATGTCATCATGCGGAAAAGTGTCGCGAGGTCGATGGCGACATCGGGTGCTGGTGTTTGCTCGCCTGTGAGACAGCGGGCGATGTTGTCGAGAGTCGGTGCGGATGCCAGACATATAAATGTTGGATGATTGTGCCATGGTGGATGAGCAAGCGGTGGTAGTGGCGGCTGAGGAGTTAGCAACAGATGAGGTGGCGGTGGCGACTGCTTGTTGAGAGTTTCCGGTTGAGCGTGGCATGCTCGGGGGTGGGGGGTCCTATTTACCGGAGTAGAACGTCATCAAGTGATTTATCAAAGAAGATAATTTCCAAAAGATAGAATTTGTAAAACACGAATTAAAATAAATTAATTTCGATTCAAATTAATTAAAGTTATTCGAAATTAATTTGAGAATACGCCTTTGGAAAGAAATAAAAAAAAATCTGAAGGAGAAACTTGCAAAGCGAAAATTTTCAGGGCCGAGGTCTCATTAACGCAGAGGATTGGATTGAATGCATAAATCTGGACGTGTTTGTCCAAAGGTGCAGAGTATCGAGCTTGAATTGCTTTTATGAATATCTAGCTGAAACATGTCCAGATTCAGGAGCTTAATCCAATCCTCTCTGCTACTGGGACCTCGACCTATATTTTTTGCTGAAAATATTGGAAAAAGGAGAAGGGAAACAATTAGTTTCATAGAAAAAAAAATTTCGATTTGCTGAATATGGACGAAGCACAAAAATCCAGAATGCAAAATCACACTGAAGTCCAAGTAGTCAAAGCCAAAGCAGATAGCACATGGAACCGAGTAACCATACAATTGAGAATGATACAGAAGAATCGTGAGTCAATGTCCATGCCCAACAGGGCAACACCAACAGCATAACCCAAATG